AGAGGATGTTGAGTCACTCCAATTTACATATAGAGTATTTACATCAATCAGAAAGAACATCATAACCACTGACAGGTGAAGTGAATAACATTGATCATCTCGGTACAATGGCACCTGTCAGTGTGTGGGGTACAAAAACAAAGCAGCAGCACTTAAGATTCTGGTGGGAGACCTCATTTTCACATCACATAGATGACATATCTTAGTGAAGTAATACTGAACAACACTAAAATCTTGGTACATTAGGAGGAGGATAGGATGTGAGTTACAGCAGCCAAACAGCATCGCAATTAAGGTACTGACAGCGTAGCTACAACTTTTAACAATTTAATTAATTTCCACATTTGACTTGATGTAGATGCTAAAGTAGTAAAGCATGTAAACATGACATTATTCCTTTTAATTATGTTAATTTTCATTAATATTAGTCGACTAATTTCCGTCAGCATTTCTGCATCATATCTTATAAAATATAACAAACAAAAGTCACTGCTCTGCACAAATGTGCCATGACAAAAAGAAACAAAATCAGGGAGAAAGAAAAGTGAAATGTAAGAAAATCAGTCATCAGCTGGTCCATCCTTTTACTGTATGTGCTACAGTGATGGCGGAAATGTCCGTCCTTCATAGAACAGTGCATTAAATCTACCAGCACTGCCGCTCCATATAATACAGCTCAATACCTGAAGACAAGCAGCGTGACACTGTCCCACAAACATTCATTCATGCTGTTACATACTTTTTCATTAGCATGTAATTATTCTATGAATAGTGATACAGGTTATTTTCAAGGTTACTTCAGCAATGAAATATCCAGTGAGCAGTGGAGCTGACAAGATTGATGAATTGTAAAGAGAAGCTCAGAGATTAATAGTAATAATGACGGCCGGGTAATGAAAGCAGCGCACTGTGCTCGACTGTCGCAGCTGCAGCTCATGACATACAGTGTGTTCACCTGCAGTGAGGAATTTCCTCAGTGACCTTCCTGAAATGTACAGCTGCACTGATGTTTCACTCTGCGTCCACATGCTGCCAGCTGCACAATAAGCTGCACTCATGACACCAATCTCAATGGGATTTCCCAGGGCTGTTGGGTGGGAATAAAGCCAGCTAAATATGTGAGCTTGTCGGCCCAGGGGAACCTACCGAGCATGCTGTTTGTTTCCTGTGCAGCCCCACAGATATGTAATGAATGACAGTTGTGAACTATAGATAAAAGCCATACAATGAATAATTGAGAAAGTGAAAGCTGCAGCACTAAAGCAAAACTCAGCTTGAAGCTAGATTTCACTCTCCTCGAGAGATGGTTTGACATTTCTCTTTCAAATACAAAAGACTGATGACTTGGCACAAAACATGACAAGCAAACTTTAAATGAACCTAAATGAATATTGTCTTCAGACTGATAAAGACTGATTTCCCAGTGCTTTGATTATTTCTGTACACGTTCAGTTCCTCATGGCTGCCTTTCATATTTCAGTCAATTAATTAAATCCAGTATCTCAACTCAATACCAAGCTACAGCTTTTTAAGCTATTGTTCTGTAATGACTCATAATGTGCCAATATGACATTCAAAAACCAGAGATTTTATGATTCAGAGAACAAGAAGAACACAGCAACAACATGTTTTATAAGTGGACTGTAGTAATTGCGAGCTTCCATTAAGAGGCCAGAAGACTAAAGTGCCATAATTTCATTCCCTGTGGATTAGTCTAAAGAGTAGATGCATTCTTATTTAGTATAACTGCCCGGTTAGAGGACCACTTTCTCTCCATTATGCTGATCGATACACACAAAATGGCTACTACATAGTAGTTTCTTACATATCATTAAAAATGTACATTTACTGGACTCTACTGTAGATGGTATAGATAATCCCCACCAACATCAGCAGGGCTCAACATGTTTGAGATCATCGTCATCAGAGCAGCATCAGCTAACAGGCCTGGTGGAGTGAGGCTCGGAGGTCCCAATAGAATCTCAAAGTTTAAAATAGACCCTCAAATTGGACTGGGTTGGCGCTGTGTGAAAGCACTTCCATAGAAATTTCAAAGCAAAAGCAGACAGAAATAAATAAATAACTGAGCAAATTTCTCAGCCTTTGTAGATACAAAGGATATAATAATGGTTATCTGATAATCACTGCACTGTTCCAAAGCTTTGGCTTCCTCTTCTCATTCAGGCAGAATCTCGGAATGTCCCAGTGTCAGAGCAGTTGTGCAGAATACGGTGCATTGTGTCAAGGCTGCATAAATATATAAAGGCTTCATCTTACATAAAATCCTCTGTCTAATCTTGCTGTGTTCTGGTTAAAACTGGAGAAAGTTAATCCTGTGTGTGTGTTTTGTCACTTGGTGTGGGTGTCTGTGGCTGTTAAAAAAGAAACAGATCAACAGGCCCAGGGACTGGATGGTCGCCTCAATGTGGTGGTGGTGGTGGGGGGGGGGGGGCCTAAATTTTTTCTGTTGT